CCGGTCCTTGGAGAGGGATATCATGCTTGGTAGGGTGGAGGGACAGCACAGGAGAGGAAGGCCCTCTATGAGGTAGATTGATTCAGTGAGTGGGGTAGTAGGGATGGATGTGTCGGAGACAGTGAGTTTAGGGCTGTTGTACATAGGGTCGCTATGAGTAGCAAGTGACTGGAAGGCATATAACTACAATCAAGGCTCTGTGTTTTTTATCTTATCCCAAAAAGGCAAATGGGTACGTAAATCTGATGTCAAGGGAAGTGCTAAGTTTTTTTGTAACACCCCCCCACACACAGACACACCCCCTCCATACCCCACTCCTCCCCTGCATTCCAGGAGATTCTGTTAGCAAGAACTCCTCTGGTACACTTAACCCATTAAGGGGTCAGAGATTCAGAAGATTGCTGACAAGGAATAGCTCTTAGAACTGGGAATAGCTCTTAGAACTGGATCTAGGTGGTTTTCAACCCAGACCCACTGAAGGTCCCTGTTTTTAAGGGTCTCAGGTGTTTGTGGAGAATGTCCTAGTCTAGCGGACTTGACTGTCACTAAACCCTTCAGGGATCCTTCAACCAGATCCAAGTTTGAAAAGGCATGTAACATTTCTTACTAGTTGTATGGTGGACAGTGTTTGATTGAGCTCCCCGTAAACAATCTTGGAAGCAGGAGTGGCTTCCATTTCTCAAATAGCTTGCCTCCAAAAACCCTATGAACTTGGAGAAATGATGAAATTTCTACAGTTGTTCAGGTCTTTTGTTCATAGGGTCCCTGAGAGTCATCTATGACTCGAGGGCACTTAACAACAACAGCAACAAACATTATGTCTCTAATATTTTAGTCAAGTATTAATATTGGCAGCTGCTTAAAATCAGTTCCTGGAAATAACACTGACTGCTTCCTTATGTTGAACTGAAAATTTTCCTGCAGTTTTTTTCTCTTTTTTGTGTCATTAAAATAAAAATCATTCTTTTTCTAGTGGTGAAAACTTTCATGTCCCCTCTAGTTGTTTGCTTCTGAGTGAAACTTTTTATTTGTATCTGAAGGCTTTGAATACTGGTTGTTTTTAGACAACTCATATCCATTCTTATAAATGCCAGAGCTGCTGAACTAGAGTCTATGTAAAGAATGACCAGCATATACTTTGCAAGAATTTTCTACTAACATATCTTTGTTTTCCTAGGGTGATACGATTCTGGAGACTGGAGAAGTAATTCCTCCAATGAAAGACTTTTCAGATCAACATCATTGAAGATTGCTTAAATATTTCAGTGGCTTATTAACCATAAACTCTGCATTACCATCTTAATGAATATATTTTCTGGAAAAGTTATTTAATAAAGTAAACTTACGAGTTTACTCTCAGAAATGTACTGTCTTATCTCTTTGAAAACATTATGTAAGTTGAGACATTTTAAGTAACAGTAAGGTAAAAAGTGAACATACAAAACTTAATTATTTCTTACTTGTTCAACTCATTCTTGAATTGGAAAATGGAGTGTAGAAAAGTAGTCACTGACAGTTTTTCTTTTTGCAGTATTTATCTCTAGTCAAGGATGGCAAAACTTTGTCTCATGCTTTGGCCTTGTTACTAGGAGAGGAGGCTATTCTTTGGAAAACGCTATCATGTTTAGAAGGAAGTGTAGAAGGTCAGCAAAGGATAGGAAGACCCTCCCATTGAGATATATTGACACTGTGACTGCATTAGTGGGCTCAAATGTATCAGAAAGCATGAGAATGGCGCAGCTCGGACAGGATTCAGATCTGTTGCTCATAAGGTCGCTGTTGCTCATAGGGTCACTATGAGTTGTACTTGACTTGAAGACACCTCACCACAGCAGTCTGATCTGAGGGAATACAAAAGTACTGCAGGAAACAAATATAAGAACAAAAATATCACAAACTTTGGTTTTAAACAATTCTTTCCAGAATTCTAAGAGCAGCATTTTAGAAACTCTAGACTGAAGTATATGGGTCTTATCTGTGATTTGATACACTCAAATCTAGATCCACTCAAGCTGACAGATCGAGGTGATTGATCAAAATTTTATCATAATATAGGGCTAAAATGTTTTTGAAAATTCGTGTATATTGTTATGTGCCAAAGTGGTTAGTATAAAAAAGGCTATACAAAAATAAGTTTGGAAAGTTTACATTATGGATTTTATTTTAAAATCTAAACGCACTCTAACTCATTGCCATCAACTTGGAATGGACTCAGAGCTGACCCTGCATCGGGTTTCCAAGGCTGTAAAACGCATAGGACCCGTCTTTCCGCATTTGAGCTGCTGGTGGAATCGTCACCAGAGAGGCTTCTGGGTTAGCAGCAACTTTGTATGGACAAAGTCACTAGGGCACCAAAATCTAAACAAAGATCAGAATTAAGAGCAATTAAAAATTTCCATCCATCTCGAAGATTCTGTCTGGGTATTCTTTCGTCAGCTGTCGTCTGGCAGCCACCGTGGATGCATATATAACATATCCCCAGGAGAGTAATGCGATTGCAAAGAGCAACTAGAAGAAAAAAAAGAAAAGAAAAAAATTAAGATGGGTGACTTTTCTCTCCTACCCTTTAGAAAGTTAGCAGTGTATTGTTACAAAGGTGGGAATTTGGAACCACAGACCAATAAGATAGGCGCTAGAGACAACAACGCCCACCAACTAACTGCTACGTAAGCAGCGGAAGATGCTCCAGGAAGGGGTGGAGTCGAGGTGAGGGTGCGAAATGCTTAAAATGGGGTTTGGAGTTTGTTGAAGAAGGACATCTTGCCCCGGAGCCTTAGCGGTTGACACCGTGGATCCCCGCCAGGTCCGGGACCTACCGTTGAGTAAATCCTGTCCTGGGTGCGGCGGCTCACTGGCTTCATGGTAAGCAAGTGGCGTTCCGCGAGAACTGAAACTGCGGGACTAGGGTACCCACCGGGGCGGTGGCTTCAGGGTGACAGCGGCCATCTTTCTGCCTGGCAGGAATGCCCACCCACTTGCCTCCAGTAGCTTCTCCCATTGGTCGTGTGGGCGTCTTCCGCCCTTAGCTGAAGTTGAGGTCACGTGGTGGGGCCTAGCTTACCTACCCTGGAAAGGAGGAAATGAAATGAGAAAAGGCGTTTAAAATTTGCTTTTTGCAACCTGAAAAGATAGGCATTCCTATCTAGCCAGTTTTCCTTTCGATTAAGTTCTAATATTAATGCATTTCACAACTTTTTTGAAAAATAAGTGCCCGTTTATATATTGCATCAGTTTATAAAGCTAGGGGGGAAAAAAGGCCCCTTCCCCAGTCTCGTCACATAAACGCATGTGTATATTCAGCTGTGACATAAACAAGGATACTACCCACTAATACAGAACATTGTTGAATTAAGGTGGGGAACCCGTTAACTGAGCCCTTGAAGAAACGTTCAGCCTCTGTGAACGCAATAGCTTGTTAATGTGAATGGTATTACTACGCAGCAAGTTTTATCTGATTATAGTTATCTGACATAATCAAATGAGCTTTTGTGGTGTAGTGAGTAACATGGCAGGCAGATATTTGAAAGGTCAGTAATTCAGATATACCAAAGAAAGAACAGGCTCTTTCAGAAAAACTTAGTAGCTCTGTTATAAGAATTGGCGGGAGGGCAGCAAATTTTTTTTCTCTGAATCAACAAGTGTTTGTTGAATGGTACAACTGGTTGTGCTTGATTTATCTAATGAGAAGATTACATTTGAGGCCTGAGTGATTATTTGGACATGGTCTGTAGGCTGACATTCCTCTTTTATAAAACACGTATTAATAAAACGCATATTAAAGGGGAATCCGAATGTAGGCCAGTGGCCCGGAAGAAAGTTCTTTGAGGAAAGAAAAAAAAAAAACCAAACCAAAAACCTCTCTACCAAAACCATTGTTTTGGGGTCTATTCTGATAGATCTTGGCTGTTTCTCTCCCTAACTGGTGTAGCTCTTGGAAAAGTGTATAGGATACTGACGTCTGGCTTTGGGTCTCATTTGTATCTGTTGTTTAGCTCTGCAACTGGTGAGCAAGTCTCCTAACTTCATTTAACAGCTTACGTAATGGAGGTAATTTTCATACTTCTCTCCAAAGTTTTGGCAATGTTTAAATGATTATTAGAGATCAGCTTAGTCCACTGTCTAATATTATACAGTCTGGTAATTTAGAGTAAATGGTATGTGTTTATGTGCAAGGGTGCAGGTACGCCCCAGGGATTAATGTTGAGACTGGGAGCGATCTAAGTTAGGGGTATTCACATTGCTCAGTCTTGGAGCGGGGAGGTTGGGGGGCGGGGGAGGAGAAGGGGGCTTCTAATACGCATGCGCTGGGGAGGCGGTTACTGTGTTTTGATGCCCTGGGGCCCGGGGGGTGGAGCCTCACTTGCTGGCCCCGCCTCTATGCTGCCATTGGTGACTAGCTCTTTACGTCATAGGGGTCGCAGCCACCGCCGGGGTCTCCGCTGTCTCGCGAGGAGGGTGAAGCTCACTCACCTTATCCAGCGCCGGAGGGGAGGCGGAGAAGTCGCAGGGTACGCCTTCGCGGATCGTGCCGTCACCGACCTACATTACTGGGCCGGCAGGAGCTGGCCACAAACCCCCTGACGGGGCCTGCGCCAGCATCCTCTGAGGTGAGTGGGGTCGGGAACAATGGGGACGGGGGTCGGGTGGGGTGGGCAGGCCGGAGGCCCCTCCCGGAGGGACACCAGAACCGTGGGGCCGTGGTCTCGGCCTGTGGGGCCGCCCGGGCCTCGGCGGGGCAGTGTCAGGGGGCGGGCTGCAGGCTGTACCGCGCACCTGTGGATTCAAGCCGGGGGGCGGGTGAGGCTGTACAGAAGGGAGTCAGCCGAGGGGCCCCGAGCCTGGCTGCAAAGAGTTGGGTCTCTGGAAAAAATAACCTCTGTGGTCTGAATCGTGGCATCGCCATTGACAGGGGTGTGACCTTGCCGAAGTACCCTGTGTCCTCTCTCAGCCTGTCTGGGAAGTGGCAGTCACCATTCATTGTGATCACATACAGGAGCCCCTGGTGCTGTGGTTGACTGGCTGCCGGGGGTTCGAACCCAGCAGCTGCCCTGCTGGGGAGAGCCAGGACAGCCTGCTTCAGTAGCCCTGTGATCCCGTGCCACAGTATGATGGGATTACTTTGACCCTATCAGATATGAGTCACTCACTGACCCCAAGACAAGGGGGTATGGCTTATGTAATCACATAGTGCGCACCTTAGATCCTGGGCCCGGCTGCTCTCACCCAGAGAAGCAGCTCTCACCATCGGGTTGGGGCTGTCTGCTCAGTGTTGTGCATCCCGCCTGTGACTCCAGTCTGTCCAGGTTTCCTCACGGGCTGGCAGGGGTACCTGCGTAGGCAAGCAGCAGTTTAAGAGCAAAGTGAATCAGTTATGGTGGTAATCTGCAAGAGAAACAGCTACCCAAGATTTAAGCTACTATATGAAGATTTTTTTTAAATCAGTGCAGAGCTATAGAGTTGACTAAAACAATTATGCTTATCTGGATGGACAAGGAAGTTCTAACCAGTTGATGGCTGGAATGAGCACTGAATTCCATTTCCATTTGGGATTAAAGGTGGATCTGGTCCTTGAACCTTAGAACTTCTGTATCATCATTTGGTAAAAGTACAGGTCTGGGCCACCCTGATTGGGGCTTAGCAAAGTCTTTAACCCATCCTGAGATGGGGAGATATGAGTCTGCACCTTGCAGGCGATAACTAAGCTGCAGTTTGCAGAGGCTCCTAATGGCCATAGGACGTAGGACCAGGATTATATTTTATACTTTGAGATACCTTTTATAGCTTTGCCTAGACATAGTAAGTACGGTATTTATGTGTGAAGATTTTTTAGTTGTGATAGGAAATCAATCATCTTGATCCTGTCATTGAAATCAGTTCATGTATAAGGTGATGGACACTACTAGCAAAACTAACTTCATTCTTACATAAGAGTGTTGCATTCTTGTAGTCCACCTAATACTGCACTGGCATGGCATACCTCTCCTCACATAATGACATAGTAACTCCATTTTAGAATTGTGAACATTTGAGATTTTGAGGGATTACGTAAATGCCCCAGGTCAGATAAAGAGTAAATGATGGTGATTCTCAGCACTAGTTCTGCATTAGAATTAACATCCCTTTTCCAGATGTAATCAGCTATTTAAATGTTATAATCATTGATACCCAGAAAATGCCATAGAAGTTTGTTGGGTTTTTTTGGTTTTTTGTTTGTTTTTACACAGGATGTTAAGTAACCTCAAACTCAATTATTAGTAAGTTTTCTAAGGCTGTAAATCACACAAGGAGATTGCTCATCTTTCTCCTGCAGAGCCACTGGTGAATGTCCCTCCAGAAGGGCTTTGTCTTTTGAGTTAGCAGTGCAAGTCCACACAGACTACTCTACCAGAACACACTTCTGTGATCTTTTTAAAAAAATTCCCTCTGCACAGCAGTACTGTTTGTTGCTGTTGTCTGTTCAAGTGTTTTGTTTTTTTAAATATATATACCTTTTCATTGTTCCCTGGATACATGTTCTTTATCCTTGTTCAAATGTGTGGATAGGAAGATTTGCGAAAAGGTTTTGTCTTATTTAGCCTAAAGATAGTAAACTATTTTTTAGTTTTGGAGGCCATTTAGAACATTTAGTCAGGAAAAGGGATGACTCTTTTCCCTGTGAGGTATTCCTAGACTGTTAACTGCAGGGCAGTTATCAGTTGGAATCCAATGTAACAGCAACAAGTTAGGGTAGAACAACCTTTCAGCTTTATTATTTATTCAGGTTTCAGAAGAAGCCTGTGAGAAAGGTTGTTCTACCCTAATTTGTTGCTGTTACATTGGATTCCAACTGAAAATTACCCTGCACATTAACACTCTGGAAATACCCCACAGCAGGTCTGCCTTTCCTTCACATCTGCTGACCTTACTATGTCTTCTGTTTTATGCCTTGACTTTTTTTTTTAATTGAACAAAGTCCTTAATTTTATAGAAATCTATAATAGTAAATTCTTACAGAATTTGTTGTCAGGTAATACTCGGTTATGTGGCTGTAGGGAGTTCTAGTGGACTGGTGTGTAGGGAATTGAGCTGCCAATTTCATGGGGGTTCAATTATATCAGCTGCTTCATAGGAAAGATAGGTGGTTTGAATCCACCAACTGCTCTGTAAGATAAAAATGAGCAGTCTTCGGGAGCTCTGGTGGCCTAGTGGCAAGAAGCTGCACTGCAATCCCAGAGGCACACAGTTCAAATCCACCAGCTGCTCTGCTGGAAAAGAAGGGACAGTCTCCTCCTGTACCAGTCAGATCCGATTTGATGGTACACACACACAAAATAATAAATTTTTAAAAATTTTTTTTAAAATGAGCAGTCTTCTCCTGTGTAATTTATAGCCTTTGAAAAGTACCTGTGGGTTGGTTCCAACTGGAACATGTAGGCATACTACATCAGTTAATGGAAATCTGGATTGCATCAGTTTTGACGCCATTATGAATAATGCTACTATGAACATTCATGTACGAATATTTGGGTAGACATATTTTCATTTCTCTTGGGAAGATAGGAATTCTCTATCATAAGGTAACTACTTCCTTTGTGTTTTAACAAACTTTTTCATTTTAGTCATTAGTAATATTTCAGGAAGCTCTGGTGGCCTAATGGGTAAGGAGTTGCACTGCCAACCCAAAGGCAGACATGAATGTCTCCAGCTACTCTGTGAGAGAAAGCTGAGCAGTCTCCTCTCATGTGATTTACAGCCTCCAGAAAGCCGCTGCTGGGTCAGCTGTGTGTTGGTTGCAACTCTAGGGCATATTACAACAACAGCTGTGTTTTTGAAGGAGTACTTCCATCTGTTTGATGGCCTTACTTGCATTGCTATTGTTTGATATTTCTGATGATTACCATTCCATATAGCTACAAGTATTGCGTAGAAATACAGTACAGAATTCTGCTGTTCTTTTTGCCTAGTATGAACATCATCAGTTATTCTTTATCCCCACACTAAAATAATAGACTTCAAAAACTAGGCAAGACCAAGATTCCATTTTTTTAAAACCATATTTAGTTAAGCCTTTTTTTCATAAGAACTTCAAGTTTACTACTTAATCATTCCCTTCAGTAAATTCATTCTGTGAGCTCAAATACTTGGTAAATGCTAAAATACATTTCAGAGAAACCAGAAAAAGTGTAATAACTTAAAATTCACAAATTTTGTTTTTTGGAAGCATTTTTTTAATTTACACTGAATATACTTGATATTTGCTGTTGGCATTTTTTAGGCTGAAGAAACTAAGAAACAAATTTAAGCCTCAAGTTACAATATTTAAGGATGCTCTGAACAGAATATTGTCAGGCAGGGAGTAATGTTAAGAAATGGATATATTTTGGTTTCAGAGTTTTAAGTATACTTACCCAAATAAGTGTTTATAATTCTGGTAATGTGCTCCCAAAAAGGAACTTGGAGCTCATGAGTTGAAGTCAACACAGTAGCAGCTGGTTTTCCAGATTCCCCCACCCCATTTCAAACCTGTAATATAGATGATCTGAAATATTCTAACCCTTGAAGAAACATTTGTCTAATATTATTAAGTTAGGGTTTTAAAAAGCAAAGATGCCTTAAGAACAAATTTAATTTTAAATATTTGATGAATTATTCCTATTTCACAAGCAGATTTTTTTGTGAATTTTTAGTTAAGATTTCATAAGGGCCAAATATTCATTGTTTAGAAACTAACAGTACTATTGTTTGCCTTACTTGACAGCAGTTGCCTGGTGATAGAAGTTCTTGTGATAGAAAAGCAGTAGAAAGATGAATCTTAGGCTGAGAGAACATAAAGGAGATGATAACTCTTAATATCTACTAGATGATAAGATGGGGCACTTTGGTGGAGTAGTGTGGGGAGAGCTGCCTTGCCAGTCTAAAAGGCTGCGCTTCTGCTGGTTTGAATCCACTATCAACTCGCTGGGGGAAAGAGATGAATAGTCTGTTACCATCTGATTTACTGTCTTAGGAAACCCATTGGAGGGTCAGATATCTGTCATTTCTGACTCAGCAGCAGTGAGTTGAGAAATTATAACACTACACAATTATTTAATAAATCAATGTTGGTTGCAGTTATGCTTATTTCCATTCATGTCAGCCTTGTGTATAGAGAGAACTGCTCCGTGGGGTTTTCCAAGATGTTAGTAGTTTGGCTTTTCTATTAAATAAAAAACTGCAGATGGCTTCTTTGGAATACCTTAAGGAATTAGTGATAAACTAATGAGAATGCTTTAGCAGTATTGATGTAGTAATAATAGCACTTACTCTAAGATAGGCACGACCTTCTTTTTAACACTAAGTGCTGAAGAGCAGTGGTGTCTCTTTGGAGACTAAGGTGCATCTGATACAGGCCATGGTCTTCGCAATCACCTGTTATGCATCAGAGAGTTGGACAATGACCAAGGAGGATAGAAGGAGAATTGATGCCTTTGAGCTGTGGTGCTGGAGAAGAGTATTGAGAATACCATGGACTGCTAGGAAAACAAACAGATTTGTCCTGGAAAGGGTTAAACCGGGTGGCTCCTTGGAGGCAAGGATTCTGAGGCTCCGTCTAACATACTTTGGACATGTTGTGAGGAGAGACCGGTCTTTGGAGAGGGACATCATGCTTGGGAGGGTGGAGGGACAGCGCAGGAGAAGAAGGCCCTCTATGAGGTGGATTGATTTCAGTGATTGGGATAATTGGGATGGGAGTATGGGAGACAGTGCGATTGGCACAGGACAGAGCAGAGTTTAGGGCTGTTGTACATAGGGTCGCTATGAGTCGCAGGCGACTCGACGGCACATAACAATAGTTCTCAACTAAATCTTCGCTTGCATGAAAATAATTCACCAAAACCACATCATTAAATTAATGAACTTTCATAAATAAAATCTCAACCAAAGCTTTTGAAAGCATTTTTTAAATAGATGCGTGTATGTGCACACACACAGCATTTATCGTATATAAAACAAATTAGCAGTCTTTTTAAATTTTTTTTAATTGGAAAAAACATGTATGGGGACACAAGAGGTGAGGGATGGGAGCCGAAGAGTGAGGATGGGCAGGGATGAAGTCACAGGGCTGCACAGTTTGGTGGGTATGGGGAGTGGGCAGAGGAAATGGGAAAGATCCAACGAGGACCTGAAGAGATAGGGTAATGGTGAGCGTAGTCCAAAGGTGATTAATTTTTAGGTGTTTTTTTTTTTAAACAAAGAAATTGTCTTATTCACTTGTGGGTTTCTCATTTGGGAATGGGGTGCAGACTCTCCAGCTTCTTAATGTTGAACAGGGGCATTGATGTGAAGGGAGAAGGGGAGCCCACTTTAACACCTTACTGGTGGTCCTAGGTTGACACTGCATGCCTTCTTGTTCAGTTAGAAGATATTTTCCTGACATTTCTGCCCTCTGGACTGCAAAGTGTTTCCCAAGGAGGGTCCAGTGGCGATGGCTGGTTGAACCCTGAGGCTCCATGCTCCTTCGCTTCCTTAGCTGGCAGTTATCTTTTCCTTTTGTCTCTGAAACTGGGTTCAGGTCTGGAGCAAAACTCTGTGTTAAGGTTAGCTATAGGAAATGGAGCAAAACTAAAGAAAGCTTGTGAATTACAAAGAGAAGGGCTTTGGAGTTGTGACTTATAGGTGTACTGGGGATGGAGGTGGAGGAAAATAGCTTAGATAAAATTCTTGTATACCCTAGTCAATTCTCCCCAGCAACCTGAAGGCTCTCCCTAGGGGCCAGGTGGTTCTCCCAGGTGCTGGGAGGATGCACACCCCCGGGGGCCAGGGAGCTGGGCAGCACATCCCCCCACCAAAGGGTCCCTCCAGGTCTGGTCCCTGCGCCTCACTGAAGACCATGGCCAGGGACAGCACCACTGGTTCCAGTACCGCCTCCATTGCCCCCCTCCCCTCCACCAAGTGGTCAGACTGCTATTTGAAGTAGGCATCGCTACCCTCCCACTTTACAAATGGAGTAGGGGCTTTGAGACTGGTGAACCCTAGGTCTAAACAGGTATTGGCATCAGTAGTCAAGAAATCAAAAGATGTGGTGTATTAAAGAGGTCTGCCGTATCAAGTCTGCTTTTGTTAAGTGTCATTGAGTCATAGACAGCTCATAGTGACCCTACGAATGAAAGACCTGAAATTTTGTATAACTTTCATTTTTTTTCTTTAACTTCATATAGTTTCTGGAGGCAGGCTGTTTAGGAAGTTGATGCCACTCCTGCTTCCAAGTTTGTTTTAATCTGAGAGCTCCATCACACTGTGTCCACCATAGGTAACCATTATTGCACTTGTCACTTCAGTGTCACAGTGTTTAGCCTCAAAGCAACCATGAGTTAACTCTGACAGAGCAGTGATAGTACTACTTAGAAGTGTTTGACTAAAAACAGTCAAAACCAGACCTGAGGGTCGCCGATTAAAATCCCATCCTTTGGTTTGGTAGCATAGCTTTCTATCCACTTCGCCCACGGAGATCTCTCTATGGCTCACAGCAGTTCTTTGAACAACAGATCTAGTTCTTGCCCTAGCCTATGCCATCCCACAATCTGAGACACACTGGAGCCCATTGCTACAGACACTTATCAATCCATTGTGTGATGATCTTTTCTTCTCTGACCTATCCAAGGAAATCTTCACTGACAGTGAGATGCTTTCCCCGTATCAAGTCCTTCACCTCCCACCTCCATGGCGCTGTCACCACCACCGCCATCCGTTGTCCCCACCTGTGCCAGGGGCCCACAGCTGTTGGCATCTGCCACTGCCAGCTGTGCAGGGGCTCTGTCACACCAGCAGTGGGGCCCGCTGCCAGTCCAGGGTACGGGAACTGTGGACTCTGGCCATGGCAGCCCCATGGGGTCACGACAACACAGATTCAGTGGCGGGTAGTTGGCAGAAGTGGGACCACCCTTGTTCTTTCAAGAATCTTTATCCTCTTGATGTTGAGGCTCAGTCCATATTGATGACCAGCAGTCATCTGTTTGGCTGTTTAGGTATATATATGTTATGTGGCCTAATTATTTCAATGTGGCTTGCCGGGCCTCCTGCTTCTCACACCACGTCTCTCACAGCCACCGTCTTGGTTCCGAGAATTTATTTTAGAATAAGGTTATTCTGCGGCAGTGTGGATGCTCTGTCCTACCAGCTTCAGGGCCTGGTGCCCACTGCCCTTCCCAAGTGAGGGGATCCAGGGGTCCAGCTGCAGAGGTCCCATGGAACTCGGCAGTAGGGGGCTGGGAGGCGTGGAACTCACCCATTCTTGTTTTGGAATCTTTGTTCTCTTGATGTTGAGTCTTGATCTATGTTGAAAACCAGTAATCAACTGTTTTTAATTGTTCAATTATTGATAAACTGAGGACTGTGGGGGGCCATGGTGGCCCGTTTCTATGTAGCTTGCTGCTCCTCCAGCTGTTTCGTCTGCTGCCACTATCTTGATTCTAGCAGTCTTTTTTGTTAGAAATGTGTGTGAAAAATAAAAAAACATAAATAAGGAATAGTACTAATTGAAGGCAGTATCTTTTTCTTATTGGCATTTTTTTCTTTTCTAGCACTTAAGGAAAAGATAGGATAGTAAGACATTAAATCTTTTAATATTTTAGCTATTTTTAAAATTTGGGATTAACATGAAAAATGTTTTTAGTTAAATCTAAGCAATATGTGCATGAATACTTGGAATATTTTGTCTTTTTTTACATATTTGAAGTATTTCTTAAATATGCTCTTTTTATTTATTTTTATTATTTTATATATGTGTGTGTGTACTGTCAAATTGGATCTGAATGGTACTGGAGGAGATTGTCCCTCCTTCTCCAGCACAGCATCTGGTGGATTCGAACCACACATCTCTGGGATTGCAATGCAACTTCTTGCCACTAGGTCACCAGAGTTCGCCAAATTTGTTGTTTTAAAACAATGATATAGTATATGAGTGCTTCCTATGTATTTAGCATAAATTTAGAGGCCATTTGTATAACCACAAGTTCTGTGAAGTGTAGGTATCACAGTATTCTTTATTGGGTTACTGATATGTTTCTTTTCCTTTTACAGATAATGGCGTCATCTGCTAAGGACTTTAAAATGGACAACTTTTCACCTAAAGCTGGCACTAGCAAATTGCAACAGACTGTGCCAGCTGATGCATCTCCTGATTCTAAGTGTCCTATATGCTTGGATAGATTTGATAATGTGTCTTACTTAGATCGTTGCCTACATAAGTTCTGTTTTCGTTGTGTCCAAGAATGGTCAAAAAACAAAGCTGAATGTCCACTATGTAAACAACCCTTTGATTCCATTTTCCATTCTGTGAGAGCAGAAGATGACTTCAAGGAATATGTCCTAAGACCTTTATATAATTTTACCGCCTCTGATGTTCGACGATTTCGCTACCGTACAACTATGACAAGGGACCGCAATACTTCTGTTTATTCACCTAGTCGTACTATGAACAGAAGAGCAGCAACTCCACCAGATAGTGGAGTACTGTTTGAAGGGTTAGGCCTTTCATCGAGAACTAGAGATGGTGAAATTCCTCAACTTATGAGACAGATTGCAGTAAGGAGGCCAGCTGCTACAGATGAAAGATCTTTACGGAAGATTCAGGAGCAGGATATTATTAATTTTAGACGCACTCTTTATCGTGCTGGTGCTCGTGTTAGAAATATTGAAGACGGTGGTCGCTACAGGGATATTTCAGCTGAGTTTTTCCGTAGAAATCCAGCTTGCCTTCACAGATTAGTCCCCTGGTTAAAACGTGAACTTACAGTTCTTTTTGGAGCTCATGGCTCTTTAGTGAATATTGTCCAGCACATTATTATGAGTAATGTTACTCGCTATGACTTGGAAAGTCAGGCCTTTGTGTCTGATTTAAGACCATTTTTACTTAATCGGACTGAGCATTTCATACATGAATTTATCAGTTTTGCAAGGTCTCCTTTTAATATGGCCGCCTTTGACCAACATGCTAATTATGATTGTCCTGCTCCTTCATATGAAGAGGGCAGCCATTCTGACTCTTCAGTCATAACTATATCTCCAGATGAGACTGAAACCCAAGAACTTGATATTAATGTAGCCACTGTTAGTCAGGCACCATGGGATGATGAAACTCCAGGACCATCATATTCAAGCTCAGAGCAGGTACATGCTGCCATGTCTTCCCTTTTAAATACTTCTGACAGTTCAGATGAAGAGCTTGTAACAGGAGGAACCTCATCACAGATACAAGGGGCACAAACCAATGAGGACTTAAATAATGACAGTGATGATTCTTCTGATAATTGTGTCATTGTTGGCTTTGTTAAGCCACTAGCTGAGAGGACCCCAGAACTTGTTGAACTGACTTCTGATTCTGAGGAGTTTGGCTCATATGAGAAAATGGAGACAGTTAAAACCCAAGAACAAGAGCATTCTTACAGTTCTGGTGATAGTGATGTTAGTAGATGTTCGTCTCCACACTCAGTCCTTGGGAAGGATGAGCCCATACATAAACGGCGTTGTGATTCTGGCACCAGAATCAGATCAAAGAAAGAAGAGAAGCGGTCCACGTCATCATCTCCCAGAGACCTGAGCTCATCTATGAGAGGAGACAGAGTGGATTCCCCACATAACCATAAACACAGAAAGAGGGGGCGATCAAGAAGTTCAGATTCATGTTCCCAGAGTAGAAGTGGGCATGATCAGAAGACTCGTAGAAAGCATCATGGTAAGAAGAGAATGAAAAGCAAGCAGTCCCGAAGCAGAGAGAGTAGCAGACCCAGAGGTAGACGAGACAGAAAGAGATCGAGAACCAGAGACAGCAGTTGGTCAAGAAGAAGCCAAACTCTGTCTCTTAGTAGTGAAAGCACAAGCAGGTCAAGATCTCGTAGCAGTGATCATGGTAAAAGGAGATCACGGAGCAGAAACAGAGATCGCTATTATTTAAGGAATAATTATGGAAGCAGATATAAATGGGAATATACTTACTATAGTAGAAACAAAGACAGGGATGGTTATGAATCATCTTACAGGAGGAGGACTCTGTCCAGAGCTCATTATTCTAGACAATCTTCAAGTCCAGAATTTAGAATGCAGTCCTTTTCTGAAAGGACAAATGGTAGGAAAAAAAACAACCACAGTGAAAGGAAATACTACTACTATGAAAGGCATCGATCAAGAAGCCTGTCCAGTAATCGATCAAGGACTGCGTCAACAGGAACAGATCGCATTAGGAGTGAAAAGCCTGGAGGGAAACGGAAATACAAAACACGGCATTTGGAGGGTACTAATGAAATGGCTCAACCATCCCGTGAATTTGCTTCTAAAGTAAAGGACAGTCATTACCAAAAATCTTCATCAAAATTAGATGGAAACTATAAAAATGAGAGTGACAGCTTTTCAGACTGTCGATCATCAGACAGAGAGACAAAACACAAAAGAAGAAAAAGGAGGACCCGGAGCCTAAGTGTAGAGATAGTGTATGAAGGGAAAGTGTCTGATACTACCAGGCATCACAGAAAGAAAAAGAAGAAACACAAGAAGAAGCATAAGAAACACCATGGAGATAACGCACCACGTTCACCAGTTATAATTACCATTGACAGTGATAGTGATAAAAATTCTAGGGTGAAGGAAGATCCAGAATATGACAACAGTGCTTCTCAGAACCCTGTACAGAGTGAATTTTTGGCTCCTTCCTTGGACCCATTTGAAACTAAAGATGTAGTTACAATAGAAGATGAGTTTGGTTCCCTGGACAAAGAATGTGACATTACCACACTCACTAAGAACTTGGATAATGCCAACAAAAGTGTAAATAATATTCTGCCCCAGGCATCTTCGGCTGAACAAACACTGACCACTTTTGCCTCTGACTTGGAAAACCAGCCCATTAATATCTCTGTTCAGACTGAGCCATCAAGGCAATTGCCATCTCCACGGACATCATTAATGTCAGTGTCTCTTGGTAGAGACCTTGCTATGTCTTAAAGCTGCCAAAGCATCTCATTGAGAATCCTGATGGTATATGAAGAAACACTGTCATCTACTGCAGTCTATTAAAAGATGACTCCTGATATGAACTTTTATTTCTTAAACTCTTGTGTTTTTTGTTTTAAAAATTTGTAATAAAGCATTTTATTTGTTTGAAAGGTATGTAAGTCCCAACCTCAGATATGCACTTTTAAGTGAAGAAAATGATACTGCTAGCCGTTTATTTAAAAGTTGGGCACCTTTTTAAATAATAAAAAAAAACAAAAAAATGTAAATTTTTGAAGTTCTTTCATAAAGCCATATGGTATTGACATATTTTTTAAGTAGTCAATAAGTATTTTTGAATTTTTTTTTTTTCCTGAGAGTTATTCTGGAAATGTGTTATAAGCTAGGGGAATGACTCCCTCTGGACAGTCTTTATTTTTCTCATTAAAGAAAAATTTGTATGGGAACAAAACCATAAAGGTTAAATTGAGGTATTTTAATCAGCACAGTTGACCTTGACATCTGCCAAAAGAAAAACATTTCCTTTATATACTTGTTTATCTGGACTGCCGGTAAAACACGTGTATTCAGCTACAGAAAGAATAAATAAAATAGCAACACTTTAAAAATATAAAGATTTTTCTATGTAGTTCTCCTTTTGTTTGTTTTGAAAATACTTTAGTGGAGCCATAACCTTAATAAAGATAAATTTTTTTTAAAATCTACATCAGTATTTCATAATTCTCTCTTAAGTACTGAATTTCAGATGATGATCATTTAACCACACAGTTTTAATAATTGTTCTTTAGTTCGATAATGAGTAGTAGTTTGTTTTCCATCAGCCAAATACAAGTAGACAACACTCAGGGTGCTTAGGAACAGACAAACTTATTGTTTTGTTTAATATCTGTAGTTCCTTTACACAGAGTGGCTGCTTATGTTTTGCCCTGTGTCTTTATCAAGCTTCATTTTAAGACCATTTGCCTTGCATTTGCATACTACCACTAGTCATCATGTAAAAGAATATCTGCTATAATGGCAAGTTTTTGCCAGCATAGGGAAGACAGTACTCCTGTAGCCACAAGCATACAAATTTACATTTTCTGCAGAGAGAGTATTTGCTAGAAGTGTTCTAGACCTACTAAAGGAAGACTTAAAGTTGGAAGTGATAGTTGATTTGGAATCCAGGAGCTAAGGGGTTAACTTTTTGACCTGAGGGACATGTTTCCCCCTACATTTCCTGACAGCTTTGGGTTTCTTCAGAAGCTACTAACCCAGTTTTAACCTGAGGGAGAGCTATTGAACAGTCTGAATAAACAGGCCTCAATCCATAACTATTACCAACATCTGCTTGGGACATAAGTACATAAGTATCCACGTAACTAAAATTCCCTATTACCACAAGTGGTTTTTCCCTTGATTGATAAAACTAAGACTTTTGAGAACTTTTTTGAGTTGTTTGGAAATATTGTTATGTGCCATGGAATCACCTGCGACCCATAGTGGCACTATGTACAGCAGCTTGGAAGCCTGCCCTGTCCTGAGCCAGTCTCACTAATTTCAGCACAGCAACGCCCGTTGCCCCAGTCACTATATCAATCTCATCTGAGCTCTTCCAAACATGATGTCCTTCTCAAAGGACTGGTCTCTCCTGGCCACAGGCCTAAAGTAGATGGAGCTTCAAAATTCTAGCCTCCAAGGAGAACATTGAGATGGTAGTCATAAAATTTATTTAAATGTAAGGTTTTATTTCAAATTAAAATGTAATGCTATTTTATTCCATATCCTAGTTTGTTACATTGTGTTCTCAGAAATAATGAAAACCTTGGAAAAATGCTGGGAAAGGTCAAAGATCAAAAGAGGAAGCCCTTCTAGGATCTCGTTTGACACTGAGTATGGTAGAGAGTGGAGGTGGGTGGGTACAGATGAGCGCAAGGTTTTGGTTTGCTTACACAGAGTTGGGATGACTCATCAACTTGGAACATACCACCTTATTTTTTTTTTTTTTCCATACCACCTTATTGATGCTCTTGAGTTGCAGTGTTGGAGACAGTGCAGCTAGAGTGCTGCGTAGAGGTGTAGACAACATAACTTCATCTCACAACTTTGGGCATATTAGGAGGGGCCAGTCCTTGAAAAGGGACATCATTCTTGGAAAAATGAAGGGTCAGTGAAAGGGAAAAGTCAATGAGCTGGATCGACAGTGACTGCAGCAGTGGGCTCAAATATGTCACATGATGAGGATGACTGACTAGGACAGGATTTAGATCGCTTGAGCAGAAGGTTGCTGTGTGTTGTTTCAACAGCACTTAATATGAGTCATTAACTTGATGGCATGTAAAGTCATCCTTTGATTTCTCTCCCCATCACCAAGTACTGGGAATTTTGGGGTGGTTTTTTTAACTATTGTAGTGCCAAGTCTAGGCAAGTGTGGTGGCTCACCTGTACTGTACAGTTAGACCTGTTATTGCCATCCACACATCCGTTTGCCCAGTCTAGAGAGTACAGAAAAATGAAAAGGGGAAACCCTCACATGTCACTACTAAAAATACTCACTAGCTTCTCATTCATTGTTCTGAACATACCCAACAACTTAATCTGCTGTGTTCTTATCTTCAGTTTGCTTCATTAGCTCTATCCACAACTGGAGGTTAGGGGAGCTCAGGTGGCCTAGTGGCAAGAAGCTGCAACTACAGTCCCAGAGGTGCACGGTTCAAATCCACCAGATGCTCTGCCGGGGAAGGAGGGGCAATCTCCTCCTGTACCAGTCAGATCTGATTTGACGGTACATGCACACAACTGGAGGTTATGCTTCAGAGCCTTCAGTGTGGGCTGTCCTGCTGGAAATGGAATGCCATCTTGGTAGTGGTGCGGTGGGTTAAACATTGGGACGCAGTGGTTCAGACCTATTAGTTGCCCTACAGGAGCAAGATGAGGCAGGCTGTTTCCGTAAAGGTTTGCAGACTGGGAAGCCCTGTGGGGGAACTGGACACTACCCTGTAGTGTGGTGGTGAGAATCAACTGGGTATCGGGGGTTTGGTTTTTGTGTTTTTCAAACGTGCTTTTAAGAAGCTTTGGTAAGTGCTGTACTGCTAACCCGGGCAAACACTACTTTGCGTAGAGGCTACCATTCGAGTCGAATGCAGCACGTTGGAATTTCTGGCTGATGATGATGCAGGGAGTTGCACTCAAATTACAGGCAGTGCCTCTTTGGAAGATTGAGTCGTACCAGGCTCCAAGAGAGAAAAATGAGCCATCTCCATGCAATTTAACTCGTTGCTGCACACTTTTAAATTGACGACCATGCTTAGAAACACATTTTGCCGTCATTTGCAGCTTAACAGCCTCAGAGACCTGCTGGCAGGTCAGCTATGAGTTCATTCTGACTCCACAGCATAGAGCTGTAGTGTAGTAGAGGTTTAAACATAGCTACTAACAAAAAGTTCAGACTCAACCATACACAGGAGTCGGAAGTCTGCTGTGGTGACTGCCTTGGAAACCTAGCAGGGTAGTTCTACTTTGACCTATAGAATCTCTTTGAGATTTTTGTTAAAAGTAGCACAATGAGTTGTATCCTCCACTAGCCTTAATAGTTCTGTGAGAAATGTATGTAAAGGCACAGCTCTATCATTTCCTTTCATGTAGAAAACACTGGGTTCATTTAATTGTCCATTTGGCTGTTTCTCCTTCCTAGCAAAATATACACCTAGGTATACTGCCCAAAGCCCTGCTCAGTGGAGGACCTGTCATTTAGGGAGGTCCCAGAAATGTGTGGCCTTGCTGTCCTGTCCGCTACCTAGTAGTGTCTTCATATCGTAGAAACCTGTAAACCAAACACAGGTTTCTCTTAAGTCAACTAAACACGAGGGATTTCCCGTGAAGCCACAGGTCCTGACCGGAAGACAAAGCAACGTGACAGGAGTGGAGACCACAGGCATTTGGGCCAACTCTCGTAATTATGCCTTCACGTCCTACTTGAACCCAATCTTGCGTATAACATTTAATGATGGAGTGCTGCTTTGCACCTCCAATTGTATGACTGTGGGATAACAGTTCATAGTGGGCAGCTCAGGCCATATGGTGGCTTGGTGACCCAACGTTAAACATTTAGTCTCTACTGGGATCTAGTAGCAAGCCAAAAGCTCTTTCTTAAAAGGAGAGATTATCTGCAGAGGATGGATGGCAGCGCTTTGCTCGAAAATCCTAGGGGTCTGTCCCTGGACTCACTGATGGGGGCCTGTCACAGACTCCAGACACTATATCTGCCACTAACACTTCAAACTCCATTGACTCTGCCAGATCATACGACCAAGTGGCAGAGCCCCTTTCACAGCAGCCTAAACATGCTAGAGCCCACTCCAAAGTGGCAGCTTTCTTAGTCACTTGGTAAATAGGCTGTTTAGGTACCTTCAAGGCTGTGTTTAACACACCCAAATGAGAAAGATATGTTGTCTCCAAAATCCAGAGACCCACCAGGCATTGTACCTTTTAAATTGTTGGAGGGGCCAGATGCTATAATTTATTCTTTAGGTGAAAGATCTCAGCATGCCCTATCCTATTTGTTAGATGCCATTGAGTTGAGCACAACTCATAATGACCCTGTAAACAACAGGTCTGAATCCTGTCCTATCCTGTGCTGGCCTCACACTTACTGACAAAGAGCCCATTCAAGCCATCATCATGTCAACTGACCTGGTCAAGGGTCGTCTTCTCCTTTGCTGACCCTCTACCCTCCCAAGCATCATGTCTGTCTCCAAAGAATAGCCCCTCCTAGCAACATTTACCTAAGCATGTACGGCAAAGCCTCATCACCCTCCAAAGAGCGCTCTGGCTGTACCCTCTCCAAGACATACTTGTTCTTCTGGGCATCCATGGGATGTTCAGTGCTCGTCTCTAACACCACAGCTCAAAGGTATCAGTTCTTCTGTCATCCCTATTCATTGTCCAGCTCTCAGATGCATATTGATCAGAAAGACCATGTTCTGAATTAGATGTACCTTAATTCTCAACCTGGCCGATAGGCAACATCAAGATGAGTGGAGAAAAGATTGAAACTGTCAACAACTTATCTTCCTTGGATCCACAGTTAACACCCTTGGTACCAATAGTCAGGGAATCAAGATACGTTCTGGAGAAGTCTGCAAGTAGGGACCTCTCCAAATTATTGAGGAATGAATAACGTACCCAGAACACTAGCCCCCTCGAAATTTCACTGAGGTGGATAGTATCTGAGTTTTTCTGGCCTTAGTTTCCTAGCCCCAATCAGATGGATCGATACAGTGACTATAATAATGGGCTGGAATGTAGTAGAGATTGTGAGGATGGTGCAGCATAAGATGATAAGTCTAGAATCACTGATACTACTTCCTAGTCATCAATGTAATGCCCCAGTGTGTGGTGTCTTACCGAACAGAAAAGCAATCAAGGTCCCTTCAGTCTAAAGAAAGTATATTTTGCTGGAGAGCTACATCCCTGAGGTAGGGTTGTGTTGCTGTTTCCCAACTGAAGGAAAAATGTTTCTGGTGATCCTTTATTGGAATGGAGAAAAATGGCCAGGTCAACAGCTGCATACAAGGCACCAGGAGATGTATTAATTTGCTCATTTAATGAAACCACATCTGGAACAGCAGCTATAATTGGAATTATGACCTAGTTAAGTTTACAGTGATCAACTCATTTCCCAAGATCTATCCCTTTTTTTTTAAAAAAAAAATATTATTAGGGGAGATCCAAGATGGCGGCAGAGGCAGAGACAGTGTGGTGAGCTGCGGTAGTAGTGAACCTTTTAAAGCAGGGTCATTATGGCCTTCCACAGACTTCGGCTTATTGATAATTGAACACTT